TTCTGCATTTAGTTGTGATGTTTTTGTGCCCTAATACATGATCAATTTTTGTAAAGGTACCATGTACAACTGAGAAAAAGGTATACTTCTTTTTGTTCCCATTCAGTTTTCTCCAGAGTTCTAGCATATCTAACTTTTCTAAGATTCTATTCATCCTCTTAACTTCTTTCTTCCTTATTTTATGGTTAGATTTATCTAGCTCTGAGAGGGGAAAGTTGAGATCCCCCACTAGTATAGTTTAACTGTCTATTTCCTCCTGTAATTCATTTCACTTTTCCTTTAAGAATCTGGATGTTATGCCATTTGGTGCACACATGTTTAGTAATGATATTACTTCAGTGTCTATGTTCTCTTTTAGTAAGACGTAGTTTCCCTACTTATCCCTTTTCATTAGATCTATCTTTGTGTTTGCTTTTTCTGAGATCATGATTGCTACCCCTGCCTTCAGCTGAAGCGTGACAGATTCCACTCCAACTCCTTATTTTTACTCTGTATTTGTCTCTCTATTCCAAGTGTATTTCTTGTAAACATACTACTGTTGGATTCTGCTTTCTAATTCATTCTGCTTCCATTTTATGGGTGAGCTCATCCCATTTACATTCACAGCTATAATTACTAACTGTGCATCTCTCTCGGTCCTATTTTCTTGAGTTTATCTTTTGTTCTCTCTCCTCTTATCCTGGCCTTCCTCTAAAACCTTTTTTGTTTCTGACCACTGCCTTTTAAAATCTACTTTCCCTTTGACCTCCTCTCCTTTCTCTTATCCCCTCCCCCTTCTATTCCCCTGTTGGGTAAAATAGATTTCCATTAACAATTGAGTATGCAGATATGTAGTACCCCTTTTGAATCAATTTAGATGTGAGATTCAAGCATTGCCTGCCCGGCCCCTACCATTTCTCCCTCCACTGGAAAAGCTCTCCCTTGCTTGCCTCTTTTATGTGAGATGATTTTTTCCCACTCTTCCTCTCCCTTGCCTCTTCTCCCAGGGCATCCCTCTTTCTCACCTATCCATTTTTTTTTAACATCACCCCTACATAATTGACTCACTCCCACACTCCCTTTCTATGTAGAATCTTTCTAACTGCCCTAACAATGATAAAGTTCTCAGATGATACATGCATGACCTTTTCATATAGAAAGGTATACAACCTCCCAGGATAATTGTGATGAGCCAATGAGATAAAATTGGAAAATCTTGCTTACCATAGTGCCAGGCACAATGGAGGCATTATATTAATGTTAGTCGTTATTATTATTATATGGCGTAAATGTATATGGAATAGCTACAAAAAATACAAGGTTTAGGAAGGGGTTAGGTGTTTGGGGAAGTTTTTCATGTAAAAGCTGGTAGTTGAACAACATCTTAAAGGAAATTAGGGACTTTGTAAGTTTAACTTTATTAAGTCCTTTATGATTTTGCTTTCATGTTTGCTTTTTTATGCTTCTCTTGAGTCTTGTATTTGAAAGTCAAATTTTCTATTCGGCTCTGGTCTTTTCATTAGGAATGTTTAAAAGTCATCAGTTTCATGAAACGTCCATTCCACCCCACCCCACCTCCCCCAAAGGCTTATACTCAGTTTTGCTGGGCTGGTTTTAATTGGTTGTGATCCCATCTCTTTTGCCCTCTAGAATATCATATTCCAAGTTCTCCACTGCTTTAATGTTGTAGCTGCTGAATCTTGTGTTATCCTGACTATGGCTCCATGATATTTGATTGGGTTCTTTCTTGTTGTTTGAAGCATTTTCTCTTTGGCCTGGGAGCTCTGGAATTTGGCTATAATATTCCTGGTAGGGGGCAGCTAGGTGGTGCAGTGGATAGAGCACCGGCCCTGAAGTCAGAAGGACCTAAGTTCAAATCTGGCCTCTGACCAGACACTTGGCACTTACTAGCTGTGTGACCTTGGGCAAGTCACTTAACCCCAGTTGCCAATAAATAAATAAATATAATATAATATAATATAATATAATATAATATAATATAATATAATATAAT